CTGCAGACTGGAGTCGTTGCGGGGTTCTGGACGCCCGGGACATACTGCAGCCCGATCCTGGCAACAGCTGTTAGTTACGCACGTGGCCAAGTACTCTTTGGCGATGGGTCGACAAAGCGGAAGAACTTTTGGAAGAGTGGGATCCTGCGGGCGAAGTGGTTCCTATTGGGTTTTCCCCTGCTGCTTGGCTTCAACGCACGATCTCCCAATGCTTTTCTTATTTCAGATTTTCGTTTTTGTTGTTTTTCATTTGTTTTCTATATCACCCACAAGCCAGGTTCCAGCGGTCAAGAACGACTGGTCTCGTCCGTGGAGTACACCACTACCGACACTTGGAGGGCCTAGCCCAAAAATGCGGCGGACAAATCAAAGTCAATCCAGCCGGAGGCTTGGCGCCCAGCGCGGTTAGCTTGCAAGTTGCTCCCGCCGTACCTCTGCTTGCTGCCGACACGCTAGGCAGCACGGACCCCAGCGCTGCAAGCACTACTGCAGAGAAAAGAAGTCGCGCTGCCGCGCCTTACCCCGCAACCATGGCGCCGCCTGATTTGCATCCGTTCCCGGTGACTTCCACACCGCGGCGCGGGAGACAAGCTGAAGTGCACACAGTAAGCTTCAGGGCAAACATCCGGCAAGCCCACGGAGCACATTTGCGGGTTGATTTGCGAAACCTGCTATCGCAGATCTATGCACACAAGATGGAAAGCCATGGGCACAAAACCGCAAGCGGCTTACACCCTGCGACTTGTGCCCAGCATGCTGGCAGTGCCCAGTTCCAGAACTTGCTCCGACAGGCGCACGATTGCGTTCTGAATTTCGTTGCCGCTACGAGCGTCCCATCCAGCAAGGCGGCGGTCAACTGTGGGGAAAACACTGTTCTGTCGCTTTTGTCGAAGCTTTGTCGGAGCTTTTGCCAGACGAGCGACAGACACTACAACATCTGGAACGCCATCGCTGGGATCGAGGCCATTTCAAAGAAACCCTCGATGATCGAGATTGGACTTTCGATGATACTTTCACATTAGTGGGAAAGTCACAGCAATAGTTGCTGAGACCCTCCACGGGCGTGGTTGCGGCTTAGACCCTCCACGCTGACCTTCCTTTCGCTTTTGGCACAGTGTCCACTTCGGCAGCGGCAAGAAAAAGGCAACGCTCCATGGAGTCCGCCCAGATTCCTTGCGATGGATTTCAGTATAGCGCGCGGGCCTCAGTTGGCTTTCCTCTAGTACATGTCCATGAGCACTTGTTAGACTTCGGTTTGGATCGAAACGACACTGCGCTAGCGAGCTCAGCAACCATCTTGCGACAGCTGTGTTTGCCACCGACATGTGTCAAGCGCGGCTCAAAAGTTAGGCAGAGTCGGCGCAGACCCCCGACTAGCAGGCTCACAATGGACATCGCCAGCGCAACCGCACACGACAAGCCAGCCCTACATCGCGGAACTTCGCCGAAGGGTTGAGCCTTATGCTGGCTGGTTGGTCGCTTGCTTTTGGTTGGCAATAGTTTTTCGGGCTGACAGTCTGGTTGTTTTCTACCAGAACTCCGCGCGATTCTCATGACGTAAGCAAATTAATAACAGGCCACGTGTGCATGCACGTGATGGATACTGCTGAGCACATGAACGATGAGACTTGGTGGGACGAAGCATGGTCTGGCTTCACACGCGAGTATTTCGGTCCAAGCTGTTTTGTCGTGGTAATTTTGAAGCGCGGCTCAAAGGGCCACGATCGGTCTCGAGTTTTGGCGCGAGAAAGCGTCAGTAACCACTCAGTTGGCTTCATTGGCGGCGAAGACCCCATGACCACGCAAATTGCCACGGAAAGTAGGCGGCAGAGACCTCACTTGGCATTCCTCTGCCAGTGCGAATAAACAGAACTTGCGAAAAAACAAAATAGTCAGCGTGGTGCTTTCTTCAGCGCCACGCAACAGAGCACATGAGAAAAGCGCGCTTGCCAGAAACGTTGACAAAAACGTCCGCACCCTCGGGCTTTTTGGACATGCGCAATTTTCCCAAATCATGCGCCGCAGCATGCGCATCCATTATGAGTTGCTGCCTCAGAGTGAAATGCAAGGATTTGGAAGCCGCTGCCGCGCTTACTTCCGAGGTAGTTTGTGGCACAGTCTACAGGACCTTTACATCGTGCGACTGCTGCTCAAGCAAACGCCTGACGTCACAGATAATCGCGACTTGGCGCTCAGGCCTTACATCCGGCATGTTTCGTTTACTCATTGCAGCGATGCGAGGCCGGTGGCTTCTGAGCGGGTTTCGCATGTTCTCGCAAACGATTTTTGCTCGCCACGAATCACGAAAAAGCTCGACCCGAACTCCATTCGGGTTCGTGGCTTCTATCAGGTTCTGCTTTTTTTGAGTTCCTACTACGTTTATTGGGCACTTACGCAGGCGCTCAACCGGTAATAAAATGGGCGCGCGTGGAAAGCGAAGGCTGGCTTGGTTCCCACTAAGGTCGTCCGAGATCGCTTCCGGACCATAGTTGCACGTTGAACATGCAAGCTTGCGGCAGGCCCGTACTCTTTCAGCACGACGGGCCTTTTTAAAAGACCTTAGTATTGCAATCCTTTGGGGTTTGGCATGGTTGCTTAGCGCATTCGATAGGGAAGTGCAGTTGTTTGCCACGTGTTTCTTTTCTTGCGCTTTAGCTGGCCACCCCGTGGGAAGGGAAGCGGGCTAGCAGAGTCAAAGCGCATACCGCTTGAACTCCTGCGTGCGCGCGACTCTTTTTTATGGGTCAGTTGTTTCTCATATTTAGACGCTTCTCAGCAAAAAGCCCTTAACCAATCAGAACGGCACATTGCTCCGTACACCCTTCTGAATTCCAATAGTTGTTGCCATTGCCAGCCTCCATCCATAAACCAACCAAGCACCAACCATTTGTGGGACTCGATTGAAAAGCTCGTCTTAGCATCATGTTTTCTCTTCCTGATAAGGGTCCCAAAACAGCCAAACAAACTTAAGCTTCCAAGAATGACACTAAATCAATCCGCTGGTCTGGGAAATAAACCTAACGGTCTGGCTAGCGGGAAAAACAAACTCAAGATGCACACTAATGTCAACACTAAAATCATATTCTTCCTGGAATGTAACCGGCCGGCACGAAACAATATCACACAAGAAAAAACTGGAACTCGCCGAAAAACGGCCAAAACGCAATGGAATTCAACCGGCCTCACACAAAAGACTCCAAATTCAGAAAGCCCCACCCCAAACGAAAGTTCAAATCTCCAAAAATCCCTGGTGACGCAGCTGCTCTCATTTTGTCCACGCAGCTGCACAGAAACCTTGCTGACATTTGATTCTTTATTGAACCCCTTTCAAAAATTGAGTTAATTTGGCCCCCCGCCGGCCTGCAACAAACATCACATCCAGCTTTGCGCTCACTAGCACTTGTGTACTAGCACAGCCTTGAAGCGTTGTCAAGCCAGCGCAAACATCATCAGCCAGAAGTCCCGGAAATCCTAAAAGTGTAGCTTTTTGAAGGTGCAGTGTCTTTGTCAAACTCCTTTCAAAGTTATGGTTTCAGAAGGCCACCTCGGGTACCCCGCAGGCCATGTTTATACTGCAAGTTCACATGTTATTAATTCGAAGCCTTTGGGGAAAGCCCCAGCAACATAAATCAAACGGAAAATGAAATCCCACAATACTAAATTAAGAATAGAAAATCGATTGGAAAGGGAAATCCACAATACTAAATCAACTGGATACTCAGTTCAAGTTCAACAGCATGCACCAGCAAGACTAATCAAATGGGAAGCGAAATTCTACAATACTGAATGAACTAGACAATCGAAATTAAAAGGAAGCTCCAGAAACACTAAGCCAAAAGGAAACTCACACCCAACAACACCGCGTCAACTGGACACCCAAGCCAAATTCAAAAGAGATGCTCCACCAATACTAAGTCAACTGGACAGCCAAATCACAACTCAAAAGGAAGTCCAGCAATACTCAATGAAATGGAAAGTCATGCCCAGCAATCAAATAAGTGGAAGCTCAAATAAATTTCAGAAGGAAGCTCGAGCAACACTAAATCACATGGAAACAAGGACCGAAGCTCCTTTTGGGATCCAGCTGGGGCTCTGGGATCTTCACTCCCTTACTGCTATCCTGCGAGCATGCGTTCTGGGGGAAGCTTCTAGTTGAGTATGACCTGATGGGGATGCTTGCAGGTGTTTTTCTCCTGCGGCGGTTAGTGTGCTCTACTTTTTCCCATGCGGTAAGTTGCGTGAGGTTTTGTGCTTTGGGCGAAACAAGTTTCTTGGGCTGCTTTTGCGCACAAATCAGAACAGCTGGTTTAAGGGGTTTGCTCCAGTGTGGCTAGGGTTAGTATAGGGTTTCTTGGCTGGTTTTTGGGCTGGTTTAACGTGGGATTGTTAGGGGTGGTTTTGTGCTTGGTGAGTGCAGGGAAGGGTTGGCTTACGGTGGGGTTGGGGTGGGTTTCAGGATTTGGCTTGGGGCTGAGGGTTGGTCTGGGGTGGAGTTGTTTAGGTATGTTTCTAGTTGTAGTGGTGGTTGACGCGCCCGTTGGAGAAAACAAACACAGACAAATGAGGGTCGCAATGCCGAAAAAGCAGCCCTGCAAACCCAGGAAAATCTTGAAGAAAACAGGAAGTTCCCCTTCAAAAACAAGCCCGTTTGGAATTTACAGTTCATGGTCCGCGTGGACTTTGGCAATCTAAGTCTTGTTTTGTCTCCTAAAATTTCTAACCTGGCAGCCGAGCACTCGCACGAGCTCATCACCGCCTACCCCGCAAAACAAGTGTTGATGCACGCCAGTGTGTTCTACAGCTTATGTACGAGTAACATAGCAGAAAGCAACTTGAAAATGAAACGAGCTTGCGGTGTCTGTTAGGACTTCTCAAAAGCTTGAAAGCCAAATCAACGCAGCGAAAGCTCTGAACTGTAAAAGTAGTAGTGAGTCTTGGCGATAGACAATCGCAGACAATCGCATTGAACGCGCGCTGAACAAACCACTCTTGTCAGCCGCCGGCAGTCTGCTGGAGCGGCGACCTTGCATGCGGTGCAGCGAAATACGCGACTTGATGTGAATTCTCAGGGCAATGGAGGGAGGCTTTGGTTTTGATTGTGTCAGGGCCTCGCGAAGAACGCTCGCTACGAACACAATTAAAACAGCTGACAATTAAAACAGTTGACCACTACCAGGTTCGGCACTCAACCCTGTTGAAACCAGCCCAGAATATTTAGATCGGAAACAAACTTTCGCTTTGCTCGATTCCGGAACAAGGTGACAAGCTTGGTGGCAAATTCTTCAACGTGTCGCGTGGCTCGGACTCGCGTAGCGTGTCAGCGACTGCGCTTTTACTTTAAAAACACACGCCTACCAGTATGCCCACAAACCAGCAGGCCTGCGCCTTGTGCAAGTGTCCAAACCTAGTCGTATCAACACGGGTAGGACTGAAAGAACCCCACACTCTTCAACTCACACAATCTTTCTCTTCGCCCGCCATTGAACATGACTCAGCCTTGTCTCCTCAATTTCAGCCTTGCGCGCGACAATGCCAATCACCAATAGGTCGGCAATGGCACGCAACTTAGACACAGCACTCCGCCCTTGAAGCGCTTCAAAAACAAACTGGCAGGCCAGCCCGCTCGCTGGGCTTGACACGCGTCGTGGCTCGCGCGGTCACCTGTGCATAGCAAGTCGGATTCGACGGGAGCTGGCAGCCAACACTTTCGTCCTGAGCACGGCCGCGCCGTGCCTGGACTTGCGGAGTGCTCCTGATCTGGGGCGTCTGGGAAGGGACATCTTCATGTCCCCGCCCGCTTGCAAGCTGCAACACGATTCACTTTCAATCATGGTATGGTCAGCCTTTCGCAATTGGTGCGGCGTCAAGAACAAAGAGTTTTTTCATGCGAGGATTAATCAAGCCACGGTAGCCCACAAGAACCAAAACAAAGTAGCAAAAACAACAAACAAACTAGAGGGTGATTGAGTCAACCAACACCTGTCAGTCAGCCAACCAACGTGAAAACAATATGAAAACGCAATGTTTTCGAACATCGCCCCTGCGTGGCCAGCTGCATTCGTTGATAACATTTCAATTCTAATACCCTTTCAGTTTACAAACTGCGTATGACCAAAGGAAGTTTAGAGAGAAAACTTCCATAGTACGAAAAATGGATATGCCCACACGCAAAGCACGCGAAGGGTAGCTCCGGGTTAGCCACGGGTTCGCCAAAGTCCCGGAAAGTTGCCCAATGGCACGCCGGCGCACGGTTTTCGCAAGGATTGAGTTGCGTGGCAAGCGCAGCACTTTGGCAACCTGAGATGCAGAGTTCGTGGCAGGCGCAGCGTTTTGTTCTCACGGACATCCGGCTTCGTGACAGGCGCAGCACTTTGGGAAGGCGAGCCGCGCGCTTCTTGAATCGCAGTGGAGTGGACGCGCGAACGGCGCTCGCCGATTGCGCGGCAAGCGCCTGATTTTCACTCCCTGAGGTGCAGATTTCGCGGCAGGCGCATCACTTTGGCGAGGTCAAGTGCAGATTTCATGGCAGCAGCACTTTCGCAAGGCTAAGTATAGATTTCGTGGCAGGCGCCGAACTTTTGCAAGGTTGAGCACAGATTGCGTGGCAGTCGCAGCACTTTCGCAAGCTCGAGTACAGATTTCGCTGCAGGCGCGCCACTTCCGCAAGCCTCGAGTACAGATCTTGTAGCAGGCGCAGCGCTTTCTCAAGGCAGATAGGTAGATGAAACGGAAGGAGAGAAAGAGAGGAACAAAGACAGAAGAGTTAAAGAAAAAAGGGAATAAAGAAAGAAAGAAAGAAAGAAAGAAAGACAGAACAAAAGAAAGAAAGAAAGAAATACAGACAGTTTCGCAAGGTCGAGTACAGATTTCGTGGCAGACGCAGAACTTTCGCAAGCTCGATTGCAAATTTCGTGGCAGGCGCAGCGCTTTTTCAGGATTGGGCGCAGATAGATAGATATATAGAATATAGAATAAAGAATAGATAGACAGATGACATGGAAAGAGAGACACAGAGAGAGAAAAAAAGACAGAAGAACAAAGAAAGACAGAAAAGAAACAAGACAAAGAAAGAAAGAAATAGATGCAAAAGGCAAGGAGTATGGAAGTTGATCACACACGTAGAGCTCGAAACACATAATGCTTTGAATTTCGTTTCTGGAATGATGGTGAGTCGTCTTTTCCGCAGCCTTTTTGGCCAGAGCTGACTAATGGCAGAGGTACACACGGCCGCGCTCAGGTTGCGTAGGGCGCATGTTCCTGCCAGCTGGGCTGCTCGCCATAGCATCAGAGTCGCAGACTTTGAAGCCTATCTCTTGGCAAAATCTGCAGACTTGGCCCTCTGCAAGAGCCGCCTTTAATGCGCGACTTCTGCGCGCAAGATATTCTTTGCAAGTTGCGAATGCCTGCGAAATTGTTTGCGCAAAACTGTTTTGCGCAAAGTTGCCTGCGCAATGGCCCTACGCAGGTCGCTCTGCGCCGCTAGCTCAGCGCGCATTGCTCCGCGCAAGTTACTCTGCTCAAGTTTCCTTCTGCAAGTGTCTTCGCGCTCGCGCTCGCGCAAGCCTGCGCGTCGCTCCCCGCGAGCGCTCCGCGCAAGTTTCATTGCGCAAGCTGCGATTTAGCGCAGGAACGTACTTCGCGTACTACTTTTTGCACAGAACAAGTTTGTGATTTCAAGCCACATCTCATTTGCAAGCCACGACTGCACAGTTTCTGCGGGAAAGCGTTTGCACGTGAAGCTGCGGTTTTCGTGCGGGCCAGCGGGAGTCCAACCCGCGACCGCGTGATGACGAGAAGCAACTTTCAATTTGCAAGGACCAGCCCGCAACGGCAAAGGTGAAAACCGCACTTAACCACAAGTGTGATCCGCGGACAGCAGAAATCGCGGAAACAAACACAGCTCTTGCGGGCAGCGAAACAGAAGTCTTGTTACCGAGCTCTCTCGGGCAAGTTCAGGGCCTTCTCTGCAGAAACTTAACCTTAGGGAACATGGCTGCTGACTCTCTGCCCAAGAGCCCGTTGGGTTGCAGGGGTGGGCCGGGGGATCTGACCGCTGCCCGGCCCGGAGGCTCACATTCTAGCCTTGCGGTTCATGTACGGAAGTTTGTATTCTGGGCAAATTAATCTAGAGCCGGCGAAGGTTGAAAACACTTCTAGGTCTTTGTTGTTTCTCTTGTATCTTTCTCTCTTGCGCTCTCCCGCTTTCTTCTTTTCTGTTTCTCTTTCTCTCTCCTTTTCTCTTTCTCTTTCTTCTTCTTTTCGCTCTCTTTCTTTATCTTTTCCTTCTGCTTCCCTTTCTTGCAGTACTCGCAAACGCGCGAACGCTTTTTCTGTCGCAGGACTAGCTGATCCCTAAGGGCGGGCAAACCTGGACCGCCCTGATAGGGCGCCCTTGTGACGGTGTTCTCGTCCTTCTTGTGTCACGCGGTCGGTGCGGCCACCCGGTGTGGCAATCCTGAACAAGCGCCAGGGGTCACTTCGTGTCTTGACTGGGCCCCTCCCAAGCAACCCCTGTGTGATGGATGCCATCCGGCAAACCTTCCTGCATCTTTTGGCGCTGTTTTGAGGGCGCGCCGAAGACCCCACCTTCCTGCGCTACACTTCGAGGGATCCTCGCTGCCACATGCGCATTAAGGATGCAATTTCGGCCGTGGCCCCCTTACCGTCGCACGAAGCCAGCATGCGCAGACGGACATGGTGGGCACTGCAGCATTTATGTGGTCAAGGTCTCCCCTCGCAGCGCTCACACGATGAGGGGATTACTTGGCAGCGTTGCCTGGCTCATTAGCTTTTATCTGGCTACAGGCAGAACTCTTGCATCCCAGCACTTAATCTGAGAAAGGATTCCAGCAAACCCACACACACACATAAAGTCGACTCTCTCTCTTCTCCCGCCCCTTCTTCCCTCCTCTGTGCGTGGGTGCGCGCCGCGGCCTCTGGCCGCGCCTGCGACCTCTTGCGTTGCTGGCCCACACCCGCGGTTGCCCATGGTGGCGGCACCGCTTCCAGCGACAGATTAGGATGGATTAGATGCCAGCAAAGCTCCCTGGCCACCCACTACGTTGGCTTTTGCAGGGGAAGCGTCAAGAGTAGGCTTCACCAGCACAGAGGCAGCGCCGGCCTTGTCGGCGCGTTGGAGCAGATGCATGTGGACGGAGTTAGGGCTGCCCCGAACATTCCTGATACCCCCTCCGTATAACATCAACTAATGTTTTTGAGGGTCTGCAACGAGCCGTGGCGAATATTTGTTACAGACCTCGTTACAGACCTCGCAACAAGACCCGCTGTTACACAACCCAAGCCGGGCCAGCGACCCCCCTTTTTGCCGCAGCTTGGCTTGCGTTGAATAGCTGCAATTGTGGAGGCGCTCTTGACGCGCTGAGAGTTGCTTTGCCCCGTTACAGACCTCTTTAGGGAAGGCAAGGCAAAGCGAGGGAAAGCTGGGATGAATAGTCCTAGGCCCCTTGCCAAGTAATCCCCTCGTCGTGTGAGTGCAAACACTGCAGCGCCCACCGTCTGCAAACGTCCCATCAGCCCTGGCTCACGCCTGGTTACGGTAAGGGGGCCACGGCCGAAATTGCATCCTTACCTGGGCGTCCCCAATGCGCATGTGTCCACGGCGAGGCAGCAAGTGTAGCACAAGTGAAGGTGCTCCAACCGCCCTATCAGGGCGGTCCAGGTTGCCCGCCCTAAGGGCTACGTCTCAGATCAGCCAGTCCTGCGACAGAAAAAGCCTCGCGCATTTGCGAGTACTGTAAGACCTGTTTCCCCCGCAGGTGCGCTACTCACCTGCCCGGAGAAAGGCGACTAGGAGAAGCCGCTTTGCAGGAAGAGCTGCCAAGATGATCCCCAAACGGGCCTCAAAGAGTTTGGTGCTAGGGGTGCTCCTTGTAAGTACCTTAAGGTCCTCACTCCCAAACCCTGGCAGAACCACAGAGACAAAAGAGAATGGGAAAAGAAAATGCAGAAATAGAAGCAGGGGGAAAAATCCGCCGACCCCTTGCGCGCAAGGGTGAGGCGCACGGGAAGGGACATCATTTGCGAGGCAGCATTCGTAATGCAGAAAAGGCTACGATGATAGTTCTCATCACAGTCATCATCCTTATCACCACAGTCATCATCCTTATCATCATCCTCGTCATCATTCATCATCCTCATCATCATCATTGTGGTCATCATCATACTGTTCTTGTTTCTTTCTTATTTTTTTACTACTATGTGCATTTCAGTTGTGGAGTTAGGCATTCTTGGTGATGCAAAGGATGCTACGAGGATAGTTATCTTCACAGTCTTCATCCTTAACATCATTGTACTCACGATCCTCATCCTCTCTTATGAGGCAGCATTGGTAACGCAGATGATGCTACGATGATAGTTACCATCACAGTCATCATCCTTATCATCATCCTGATCATCATCATTGTTGTGTTTCCTTCATATTTCTTATTACTATATACCTTTCAACTGTGGCGTTAGGCACTGTTGGTGCTGCAGAGGACGCTACGATGATAATTAATTCTCATCCTCATCATCTCTGGAAATGCAGATCAAGCTACGATGATAGTTACCATTACAGTCATCACCCTTATCATCATCCTCGTCATCATCATCCTGATCATCATCATTGTGGCCATCATCATCCTTTTCTTGTTTATTTCTTATTTCTTATTACTATATACATTTCAATTGTGGCGTTAGGCAGCATTGGTCATGCAGAGGATGCTACGATGATAGTTTTCATCAGAGTCATCATC